GCACATCTAAAGCTGCTTAAAAATGAAATGAAATGAAATGGGGTTTAAGGTCCTACTGTTTTGCTCCTAAACTAGGCTAATGAAGACGGGCATACGCCATACAGTGTGCTCTGAGGGAAATTTTGCCCGGGCAGCGGCAGTACGGCCTACTCTTATATCGAATTCCAACTGTCAATGGATCATCTACGTGCGCGCGGATGTGTACACGGGACCTCGGTTTTTTGTCCCATCCGAACGACTAGACAGCTGTCCTTGTCGAGCCCTCCGTCCTGCATCACTGACAAGGGGAAACCACGCCGGAAAATCTGGATGAACTTTCTCGGCCAATGCAGGGATCGAACACCCGACCTCCAGGCTAGGGAGCCAGCGTCTTACCCACTTAGCCACGTGATCCCCCTAAAGCTGCTTAAAAGTTTAGTACTTACACATCAGACATGGTGAAGCGAGCATTGATATGTATTGAGCATGCGTCCGCTTACATCGACGTCAGCATTATTTAATCTACTTATTTAAAAATGCTTTTATAACACTATAACTACCACTTTTAAGTTCCTACTTATCCCACATTGATATGTATTGAGTATGCATTTGCTTACATCGACGTCAGTATATTATTTAATCTACCTATTTAAAAAAAATTTATAAGGCTTTATACACCTATAACGGTAAATCTCTTTGATCTTTGGGGTATATTCTATGCCCGGAATAACTTGCGGTCTGAAAGTTGGGGGCGGCTTTGGATATATACGGGGGAATTTGGGTTATTCTTCAGAAAGTTTTTCTTTAAACCTGTAACGGGTTATTTTTCCAGGGTAGGTTTTTTTCATAAGAAAGTATGATATAAGGCTTTTTTACTGGTATTCTGGGATATTCTTATTTTATATACATACATGTAAACATAGACAGTTTATAATAAGCAAGATAAAGTCCTCGACTTCGGTTATGCTGGGGAAGAAAGACTTCAGAAAAAAAAAACCCGACAGAAAAAGCTCGGCCTACCGGCCTCGCTTTTTCTTTTTCTTGGGTTATTTTCTTCAGTCTTTCTAATAATACCACTAAAACTTTGTAGCAGTTTCCGTCGCAAAGTTAAATAATGTTTTTTTTTATTATTGGCCGGTTAGTCTGTTAAAGTGATTAAATAATTTCCAAACGAAATGTATATAAAGTTTTTTTAATAATAGCCGTTTTCTGTCGCAAATTTAAATAGTGAATTGTCTTTATTGGCCTTAGGCCGTTTAGTCCGTTAAAGTGATTAAGAATTTTCAAAACGAAATGTATATAAATGTTATTGAATAATAGCCGTTTTCTTCGCAAATTTTAATAATGAATTATCTTTATTGGCCTTAGGCCGTTTAGTCTGTTAAAGAGATTAAAATTTTTCCAAACGAAATGTATACAAAGGTTATTGCAGATGATTCTCGCCAAGATCATAAAAAGTTTCATCATGCACAGTTATTGCTGTTAATAAATAAACGGAATTTTATTAATCTCGGCCTCAACTCGTATTTACATCAATACCCACGAGTTTTATTCTTCACTTTCCAATAACCTCAGCCATTTTTTTTTTATTTTATCTTATTCAAAATCAATAATTATATAAGGCATAAACAGCTATTATTCACACCAAAGCATAAAAAAACAACCGCTCAGCTGATTTCCATAGAATCTACTGGCGAGAATGTGTAATCTTTTATTCATTGGATGACTTTATACTTTTCGTGCTGATTAAATTCCGTCACTGTTAGCCATAACTCGACAATCTGCGATTGAACTATGGAATAATGGAAATCATTGACACCGTTTTATTACCTGATAAAAAAAAAGTAATAATAACTTTCTTATCCTCTGAAAATACAAAAAAATAAAAGATCAGCCAAAATTATCAGCAAATATGAAAATCTTAATGAATATTTTTTTTTTACGAAATATTCTTTTCAATTCCGCTTCTAAGATGGCGGAGTGAATCTAGCAGAAACCTATTCTGGGTCGATAGAGTTATCGTCCCCGATCAGCAATAAAACTGTCGGTGAAACATAACGAATGTTATTATTGACGCCTAATATTCACTTTGAACAATATTCAATAGACAGTATCGTCCAGACGAATAATACTTTATTTCCTATTGCTACTAAAAACCTAGTTAATCGCGTGTTCTCTTGCACCCTTGAATCATTCGAGCAAAAAGTCATCTCTTGCTCCGACGGAATAATATCCAACACACTGATAATGGCGATATTACTAGGGGAATATGCCATAAAGTATTGCTCTTATATCAATTTCAGAGCGGCGTCATAACATGGACACAAATCAATGGGAAGTGAAAATTGGTGTCTTAACTAAATAGATCTAGATATTGAAACGAATCAAAATATGACACATGGGATAAGGACCTTGTTTCCATAGTGACACGAGCGTACCATGTCGAATGAGAAACTGTTGATAGTCCAATGTAATCGTGGTTCTATCAGACATTTCTATGATATTTATATTAGAAATGGACAAGGAGTGAAATGATGTAGCAGGCAGTCAATACCAATCCACCTTCTTATCACTCTCCACCCGTCATAAATCCACTGAAACCAAATTAAAATCGAACCAAGAGCGAATCATTGCTTATCAATTCATCTGAAGTATAACATCAATCTTTAAACGTGTTAACTTTGTTTCGTCAACACAGAAACACTGAAACAACAGATTTAAGAACAACTCGTCTGCTGAAATATATATAGAGAGGAGAAATGGGGTTTAACGTCCACTCGGCATAAATCAGGTCATTTCGGGACTAACACGTGGTTCAATTTTATTTCATTAATTCGCTTGCGATTAGTGGTCTTTAGCAGTGGGGGGAAACAGGAGAATCCGGAGAAAACCCACGATGGACAGGCGACCCTACACCTTGTATCATGCATTTCTGTATAAAATGAAATAAAACGAAAGGGGTTAACGTCCTACTGTTCTGCCATACAGTGTGCTATAAGGGACATTTTTTCTCGGACAGCGGTGCTACGGCCTACTCTTATATCGAAGTCCACCTGCCAAGATTCGTTTACCCGGATAGCGGCACTATGGCCTCCTCTTATATCGAGGAACAACTGCCAAGGGATCATTTACGTGCACGTCAATGTGTACACGAGACCTCGGTTTTTCGTTTCACCTGAACGACTATATGTTGTCCCTTGCCTTGCCCTCTGTCCGGCACCACTGACAAGGGAAACCACGCCGGAAGATTCCGACGAACTTTCTCGGCCAACACCGGGATCGAACACGGGACGTCCAGGCTAGCGAGCCAACGTCTTACTCACTGAGCCACCGTGGCTCCCCATTTCCGCATAAAAGTCTTACTAACAAGGGATCCTGACAATCTAAGGAAAGATGGGTATAAATATAAATCCATCCATGGCGAATGGGTATGTAGGAGGTTCAAGAGAGCTATTAATTCTTAACAAGACATTGCCATTTATCTTGACGGACATACAAATGCATCTTCAATAGAAGACTTGATCTCGCTTTAACTACGTACATCTTATCAAGGCCTTCACGTAATACCCTACATATTTCAGCACTAATTTCAATTGAGTACAAGCCCAACTTGTGAACCTATCAGATTCCTCGATCGTCCCGAATACCAAGTCTCGGTGTTTCAAGCTAAAATGTCTACCTGTGATAATCGAGTTGCAAAGTTCAAGGTTCATTCAATGTCAAGGTTTCCGTGGAGGTCGCTACTGCTCTCGTGTCTATAGATAACAATGCTATAAGTTCGGGAATTGTGAAGTAAACAAGCAACGGCCAGATGTTGTGAAACTCGCAGTCGTTGCTTCAGGAATATGATACAAATGTAACATGCTCCTGAACAATTTCTTTGACTAATGATACTAAATACAACTTTCTGAATAGCAAATCTTAAAAAAACAAAATATACATTTAAAAAAATTCCGAGATCAAATCCCTTTTTATTCATCTTTTTAAACAGTTATTAAACGTCCTCCTTTCTGAATAGCAAATCTTTCAAAACAAAATATACATTTTAAAAAATTCCGAGATTAATTCCCTTTTTATTCATCTTTTTAAACAGTTATTAAAAGTCCTCCACATTATCAATGGAAAAATTTTGTTGATTAATATTACTAACACCACTTTCTGAATAGCAAATCTTTCATTAAAAGTGAGAGATATTAAAATAAAACGAATTTCTGAAATGAAATCAGTTTTTTTTCATCTTCAAATTGGATAATCTAGCCAAAATAGTTATTGCATGTTCTGTACGGTTCACTTTCCTGGAAGACATTTTGTGGGAAAGATACCTCGATGTGGAAATCTTAAGGGGCACTTGTATATAGCTGCGTTACAACTAAGCCGTTCCAAGCCGCGATAAAATTCAAGAAAGTACACCGTTTACATTGTGACGATGAATAAATTTGAAGGCAACATACATGTACTTAATATTCTCTCACTATACTCATGAAATTTAATATGATTGTTATTGTGTGACATTATCAAAATAGGCATCTTGAAAAGTAAAAGGGGATGGTGGATGGCCGAATGGTTAGCGCGTGCATACTGTATCATAAGGTATGTCACTGAGTCAACTGGCGTGGTTTCGAATCCCCGGTTGTACGTGACAAGGAGTAGGGTCGCCTGTCCAACCTCGTGGGTTTTCTCCGGGTCCTCCGGTTTCTTCCCACGGATAAAGACCCCCACGCGCAAGCGAATTATTGAAATAAAATTGAACCATGTGTTAGTCCCGAAATGACCTAGTTTGTGTCGAGTGGACGTTAAACCACATTTCTCTCTCTCTCTCTGAAAAGTAAAAACATCTAGAAGAACAGTATATCTACCATCAGTCTAGTCTCGGTCACCCAGAACCTCCTAGTCTTTAATGTTCGTAAAATATTTTTCTGGGTGATAGAGACTACCATTAGTCCTGTCACGTCAAGACCATCTCCAGAATAATGACATTGATAACTAAGCAAGGCCCGTTTTCTTTTTTTTTATTTCCATAGGCGAATGTTTCCAACTTTGAGGGTTTCGTTTACTGGTTTGGATCCTGATCAGAAGTATTTGGTGTTAATGGATATAGTTCCGGTCGATAACAAAAGATATCGCTACGCCTATCATCGTTCATCATGGTTAGTCGCCGGAAAGGCGGATCCACCACTTCCTAACAGGTTCCACGTACACCCCGATTCTCCATTTACCGGAGACCAGCTACAGAAACAGACAGTGTCGTTTGAAAAGTTGAAACTCACCAATAATATGATGGACAAAACTGGCCATGTAAGTTAAATAATTTTTTAAAACTATTGAAATTATACATGACATTTTAAAATTGTGAGTCAAAACTAATGTTGCCACGGTCTTGCAATATTGACAGTTTTACACGTAATTGTCTTGAGTGATCGCGACTTAATGCATCCGGGTATAATCGCTTTTTTTAGCCTTAATTAAATCCCCGATTAAGGTATTGTAACCCTTTGTTTTAAGCTAGATTAAATCCGTGAATCTATAAATGTCAGAGTTCGCCTTGTTTAAACCCTTGATTTAACCCTTTATAAAACTCTGGTGTAGCTATGTGTAAATCTCTGGTGTAGCTCTGCTGTAGCTGTGTAAATCTCTGGTGTAGCTCTGTGTAAATCTCTGATGTAGCTCCGTGTAAAACTCTGATGTAGCTGTGTAAATCTCTGGTGTAGCTCTGTGTAAATCTCTGATGTAACTCCGTGTAAAACTCTGATGTAGCTCTGTGTAAAACTCTGATGTAGCTCTGTGTAAATCTCAGTGTAAATCTCTGTTGTAGCTCTGTGTAAATCTCTGATGTAGCTCTATGTAAATCTCTGATGCAGTCTTTTGTCAATCTCTACAGTAAACTTGTATAAAAATTTAGTCCTACACATCAAGTCTTAGTGGCGCCATAAATAAATCTCTGATGTAGGCATGTAGGCACGTTTAAATATCGCATCTGGACTTATTCTAACATAGAATCTGTTATGGTTGATAACTTATTTTTTTTTTAATATTTTTAGGTCATTTGAATTATATGTTATTGAATTTTCCAGGTGATCCTGAATTCTATGCATAAATATCAACCACGTATACACGTTGTTAAGAAGAAGGAATCAACACAATGTCAAGGAGCTATATCTTCAATAGAAGGCGAAGAGTTTCGTACTTTCATATTTCCGGAATCCGTATTCATCGCTGTTACTGCTTACCAGAACCAACTGGTAAATATGGCTATATGTTTAGCGTCATTTTCCCGCTATAGAATCCCTTGCAAACTACATTATTTGAACGATGATTTTCTAATAGGAATATCTTCCCCAAAACAGCTCAATTCTGCTCGCTATGCAAATAATTATTAATGGATCTGTTTCAAATCCGGCGGAATCCAAGCCGGGGGATTATGTTAGGAATTTAATTTTGTTTTCTTAATTAAATGTTAAATATGAGTACATATTAGCGTGGATTAAGCCATGAGAAATTTGATATTGTAGCGAAAAATGCAAATGACGCATCGGTACTTTAATATTTATATATAAATAACATAATTTTGTCTTTTTATAATTAACAGAGTCATTAAATTGTGTCTTTTCGAAGGCGAATTATTGAAATAAAATTGAACTATATGCCCTAGTTTGAGTCAAATGGACGTAAAAACTTCTCTCTCCCTCTCTCTCTCGCTCTCTCTCTCTCTCGCTCTCTCTTATTTTAAAATATGCATTATTGCAGTTCTCTTGATCTTTTTTAAACTTATTGGTTAATTGAATATGGTTACTGCCTGTTGCAAACTTCTAAAATATGCATTATTGCAGTTCTTTTTATCTTTATTTTTTTGCAAAATTTTTAAATATGCGTTATTGCAGTTCTTTTTATCTTTTTTTTTTAATTTATTGGTTAATTGAATGTGGCTACTGTCTGTTGCAAAGTTTTCTTGTTTGATAATATTTGTAGACATTTGTTAAACATAAATTACAGTTTATTTTATTTTATTTTTTAGATAACCAAGCTAAAGATTGATAGTAATCCATTTGCTAAAGGATTTAGAGATTCCACAAGATTAACAGATTTTGACAGGTAATTCGAATCATTTTCAATTACCTTGACTTTGTCTATGTTCACGCCACTACATAGTTTATTAACCATGATATATGGTTACTATAGCAGAACTTCGGTGACATTTAGTATTTGAACAGTAACCCTCTAAAAACTATTTATGGGAGAAAGGGAGACATGGGGTTTACGTCCACTCGACACAAACTAGGTTATTTCGGGACTAAAATATGGTTTAATTTTATTTTAATAATTCACTTGCACGTAGGGGTCTTTAGCAGTGGCGGAAATCGGAGGACTCGAAGAAAACCCTTGAGTTTGGACAGGCGACCCTACTCCTTGTCACGTATACACCGGGGAATCGAAACCACGCCAGTTGACTCAATGACAGACCTTACGATAAAGCGCGTACACGCTTACCATTCGGCCACCCGAACTCCCAACTATTGATGGAATAAAAATTATTGGTTTGTTAACCAGTAATTGTTATTTCATATATAATTTTTAGTGAGATATTATATCAAAATAATACTTTATTTTATTTTATTCCTCAATTTCATGTTTTCTATGTACAGCCTCTACCATTCTTATCGATATAGTAACTTTTTACTCATTTATATCGCGTTCTTCCCCCCTGTCATTATTTTGGCAGGTAAAGTTAATGATTTTAAAAGTAAAAATAAAACATTAGAATCATTGTATTGTGTTTACACCTGTCGAGTTTTGTTTCTGTTATTTATTATTTTTGTTCACTTATCTTTGCCTTAATGAATCGTATTTCGTTTAGATTAAGGCTTAACTAAAAACACGAATACAGTTAACTATTATTCGTTTAAGTCACGATACGCTGAGACATTACTTATCGCAATATTTTAACACAAACAATGAATTATTCAAATATATCTTAACTAGTCATCGCATTTTTATTAACGATATACATCACGGAAATTAACCTGTATTATCACGCCGGTTATTTTAGGAAACGACATGTATATATTGTCTTGTTGTATTTTATATTTTATCATTGCTTGATAATGACTAGAGAAGCCTAGTTGAAACGTCGCTCAGTAAAAAGCAGTAAATTGTATTCCATAGAATTGTGACCTGTATATCACATTTGCCAAAAATAAAAAAAAGGACAGATGACGCATAAAATTAATGTTCTAGATACAGTTAACTATTTAAAAGATTCTGTTCTGTAGAATTTATATTAATTTGAAATATCCTAAATAATTTTAAAGCGGGTGGGGGTGGGGTACATAGGTTAAGTCTGTTTAAAATAGTAATTTGAAAGATTATTATATTTCTGAAATGACAAATACTTGGAAATTTTGAGATTTTTTACTAGTACATCTATCCGAAATTATAAATGTTGTATTAGAGATAATTTGAAAGATTATGTAATTATATTATCAAAATGTTAGAAATACTATAATTTTGAGATTTATACTAAATCCTACACCATGTTATTGTTAACAATTATGAACTACACGCATATAACAGAAAATCTATGCTAGCTTCTAAAATAAAGAGAAGTGGCATCAGATGTTATATATATGTAACCTACACCATCCGCGCTATGTTTCTTTTCACTTGATTTACTCTTTGTTGTTTATTTCTGTCGTGTCCGCAGGTTTCTCTTATCGGTTTTGTTTTCCGTCTAATGCGGTTCTCTTACTAATGTAATGGGCATATAATTCGTGCACTTATTCATTCGTTCCTTTATTAATTAATTAATTAATTAAATTCATTCATTTAATGTCCATTAAGTTGTTTAATTAACTTATTTAATTTTCAATAGATTTCATTTATTACCTGTGCATATTTTATGTTTTCCGGTATTAAATAGTTTAAAGGATAATTCAAATGTAAGAAGAAGAGGGTACCTCTTCGAAGCCTTGGTCTAATAATATCTGACGATGAAAAGAGTATAAATTTCTCTTCTAGTGAAGGATACTTCCGTATCGGATCCTTCGAACCATTGTTTTCATATTCCTGTTGGACGCGGATTCTACACAAGTTTTGGATTTTTTTGTATATTTATAACCGAAGATTCGCACTGCTACACTATCTGTTTGTTTTTTGTTGTTGTTGGGTTTTTTTTGGGTTTTTTTATAAATAAACTGAAGTATCGGTTTTTATTTTCAGCAGTCCCGGGATGTCACCCAGTTTCGCTTTTCCTTATCGCGACACGATGGAGTCTCTATTACAGCAACATACATATTCTAGATCGCCACTGAGATCATATGCTGATAGCGGTGATTATGAAGAAGCCATGTTAAAACACAGAGAATACCTACTCGCCAAAGGTTCGTTCCATTTCAGTCTATTGAATTCTTTGTTTTTCTTAAAGATGCATTATGTAAGAGTTAGATAAAGGACTAACAATTTTCGCTATAATAGTTAAAAAATATAGTTTTATAGAGTAGGAGGAACATGTTGAATATTAGAACTCGTGTACTAAATAGGTTCCCTTAGAAAATATTATTATCATAACGACAAAGGAATATATTGAAACGTTCGGTCCAATTACTTCATTCTGAGCGAAATTGTGCAATCTTGATTTTCATTGCTACTGTCGTTACGATAATAAACAACATCTCGATTAGATATTTTCAAATTAAATAATTGAATGGCGATTGTGTTTTAATCCATTGAAAATCACAACCATTCGATGTTCTAGAGAGTTGATTATTGGCTTCGCGTGTGAATAAATATCTAACATTTGAAGCCAAAAACAAGAACTGTAATAATAGACAGATTACATAATGCATCTTCAAATATTAGAAAAATTTGCTGATTGCATTTTGATTTCATTTAAGTCTATCGAATTTTTTTTTTCTTAAATATTTTTTGAAAATATTGCGGAATGTATTTCGGTTTCAATTTAGTCTATCGAATTCTTTTTTTATAAATAGTTTTTGAAAATATTGCTCATTTTATTTCGTTTACTGAAAAATGTTTAAACGTCCGTCCTGTAAAAATAAGCTTTGAATATGTATTATGTCCAAGTAGAAAATCGGATTTCTAACAAATATATTTCTAACAAAAATATTTCTAACCAATATGAAAAGAGAGAGAGAGAGAGAGAGAGAGAGAGAGAGAGAGAGATGGGGGGGGTCTTTAGCAGTGGGAGGAAATCGTAGGACCCGGAGAAAACCCACGAGGTTGGACAGGCGATCTACTCCTTGTCACGTACAACCGAGGAATCGAAAACCACGTCAGTTGACTCAATTATAAACCTTATGATACAGCGCGCACGCCCCGTTAACCATTCGGCCAACCAACCCCATGAAAATAGAAGTAGCCAAGGCTTTTTGTCGTATATCTGTATCCTAAACCTTTATAACTCTGTGGAGACATACAAATGATAAACACGTCTTCCATTCCTTTAAATCAAATAAATCAAATAATTGTTCATTTTATCTTCTTGTTGGTAGAGTATCAATATCCCACGTTATTGATCATCTTTTTAGAAAATATATTTCTGATAGAAAAAAAAGTCCATAATCACACAAATGTCTGAAGACGTCAGTAGATTTGTCGCCATCTTTGAATCTCTTTAGTTCGAATTATTGTCAAAATACGAGAATGAGAGACGTAAGCAATATTTAACAGTTAGTTAAAAACAAGGCTGTTACGTTAACACGACATTAACGACGAGTATCAGACGACAAATCAGCCAACTTACATAATCCAGAAGGTGTTTTTTGGCGCCAAACGGTCCTCCAATATGGCGTTTGATGGTAATAAGGCGCAGATTTGACGAACGAGAAGTTGAAAATGAGATTTAACTAAATACAAGGGTGTAATATTAAAATGATTTGTCAAACGGTTTATTATTACAACCGATAATTTTCAGTTTCTGATTCATGTCGGTTTTTATCTTGTCTCTGCCATTTTTAAATTTCTGGTCTCAATAAAGGCATCGTACGTGTCTGTCGTTTTATTACGCTCTGACAATTTAACTCAGTTAAATTTCCGTCACATCATTAAAGGGAGATAGAGAGAGAAATGGGGTTTAACGTCCACTCGACACAAACTAGGTCATTTCGGGACTAACATATGGTTCAAATTTATTTCCATAATTCGCTTGCGCGTAGGGGTCTTTAGCAGCGGGAGGAAACCGGAGGACCCGGAGAAATCCCACGAAGTTGGATCACATCATTAAAGAGGGATAGAGAAGCGGGGTTTAACATCAACTCGAATCGATACAGACTAGGTCATTTCGGGACTGACGCATGGTTCAAAGCCGGGTTTTCTCTTGCCTCTACCATTTTTTTAATTCTTCGTCTCAATAAAGGCATCGCATGCGTCTACCGTATTGTTACACTCGGATAATATAACCAAGTTATACTTCCGCCGCATTAATATATAGAGAAAAATGGGGTTTAGCATCCATTCGACACCATCTAGGTCATGTCGGCACTAATATTTAGGTTAATTTTACTTCAATAATTCACTGACGCGTAGGAGTCTTTAGCTGTGATAGGAAACCAGAACATCCAGATAAAACCCAGGAGGTTAGACAGGCACCCCTTCTTCGAGATGATCTAAATGGCGATCAGAGGTTTTAAAGGGCCTGTTAAAGAAAATGAATACTTTGCCGGATATGAATAAATTTTTAAGTTAGTGATCTGAGGAGCCTCTTTCTAGTGTGGGGTCCAATTTGGGGAAATTAGCCAAATGTGCCAAAACCGGCCTCGGGTTTTATAAATACGATTTGCGCCATCTATAAACAATTTTGTACTAAATCATCCATTCGGGTGGTCTATCTTGACTTCATAATTCTGTAAACCGTAAGACCGGATTTTGTTTTGTCTTCTGGGGGTGTCAACTGCTTGTTTAACCGATTGAATTCTCGAGACGTTTGGCGAGATTGCGTGATTTGCTCGCGTGGAAATTGCTCAAGCCACGTTTCAATTACAAAAGAGTCAGTGATAATTGGCTCTTATTACAAAAGACAGATTAAAAACCTTTCATTCAACGAGTTAGTTTTTCGCTCAACTAGAATCACGTGTTTGGCGCGATCTTAAGACTCGGGGGTTGACAAAATGGTAGATCTGTGACGAAAGCGGTGATTAGTTAGTCTCCATCATTCAGACCTCCGTTCGTTGAAGACTAGGAGGTTCTGGGTGTCCGAGGCTAGTGATTAGTATGTCCTCTTTCGGTTTAACTTCATTATCGTTATCTGATTTGTAAATTGGATGGCGGGAATAATACATGAGACGCCGCCCAAATCCTATTAACAAGTGTCACGGGGACAGAGAGATAACTATTGTTTTAAATACCGACTACAGATTACATATTGTATTGCACATATTTTATACAATACTTACATTAAATCATCGTATTCCCTAGACTAAACAATCTTTAAGACAATTGTCTCTTATTATTAAACATGGTGCTTTTTAATCGTTGAGGTGCTTCTGAAACACAGTGAATGATATTAATCTTACAGCGGCATTCAGAAACTGGAAAAAGTAATAAACTATTACACGCACGTCTCTCAACGTTAAAGATATACTCTTCGAAATGTGACCAAAAGAAATTAGTTAATGTCCTTCCATAAGCAAGTTGGGGGGTTGGATGGCCGAATGGTTAGCACGTGCGCGTTGTATCATACGGTCTGTCATTCAGAAGCTGGACACAATAATAAACTATTACACGTACTTCTCTCGACGTTAAAGATATACTCTTCGAAATGTGACCAAAAGAAATCAGTTATTGTCTTACAATAAGCAAGTCTTCTAGGTTAAACCTGCACTATGCAAGAGCTAAATCTGCCTATTGCAGGTATTTCTATAGGCCTGGAATGTTATCTAAATTATTAATTAGACATTAATTAACTTATCCAGACCATAATCAACTCTCGATGTCATCGTTAGCCTGCAATATTTAGTGGATATGGATACATTTTGTGGTGGATAATTTAACGTAAAAATAGATAAACGGGACTTTGTTTATTATCGTTACAACGTTAGAAATGCCGATCGATGCTATAGCCTAAATTTGAATCGCTAATATCTCGGTTCAGAGTAAAGCAATTTTAAGCATATTTTTTTTTATTATCTATTTTTAACTATTGTAGCGAGAACTGTCAGTTCTTTATCTAAATCTTATTTCCCTGCGTGGTTTCCTTTTGTCAGTGATGCAGGACGGAGGGCCTGACAAGGACAGCTGTCTAATCGTTCGGATGGTACGAAAAACCGATGTCCCGTGTACATATTAGCGTGCACGTAAAAGATCCCTTGGCAGTTGGAATTCGATATAAGAGTAGGCCGTAGTGCTGCTGCCCGGGCAAAATTTTCCTCATAGCACACTGTATGGCGTATGCCCGTCTTCATTAGCCCAGTTTAGGAGCAGAACAGTAGGACGTTAAACCCCATTTCATTTCATTTCATTTTATCTAAATCTTACCTAATACCCATTTAATGAAAGATATGTCGAGATTCTGTTATCAGGGAAGTTTTGAATATAGTAGGTAGTGTATTTTATTTGTATTTTTGAAAATAATATATATTTGGGGTTTTTTTCAACCAGGACTGATGGGCCTTCGGACCACGTCCAACAGTCCGAGGCCCAGTCCTCCCCATGAACCTTCCTTAACCACAACCTTACCTCTAAATATTTTCCCTTATATTTTCAGATGACGTAGATAATCATGAAGTGATGCCGAATCCTGCTTGGTCTGTGTGGCGTCCAGTCTGTTCCTCTGTGAATTCATCTGTAGCTAGCAGAAACTTTTACACCTTATATGGTGGTTTGTTAGGTCTCAGTAATACTGGATTACCGTTTCCTGCTATAGGTTTTCAACCCTTACCTTTACCCAATGGACTTAGAGAACTATCGTCACCAAATTCGTCAGTTACGTCATCCGAATCTGTGCGTCACGTGTATTCCGGACTTTACCGATATCATCCGTATATGTTACACGAACGATTAAAAGGTGTTTCGTCGGAATCAAGTAGTGATTCGTGTAGGCAATAAAGTGATGTTGTAATTCTGTTTCAGTATTAATAAATCTGTGAATAAATTATAATAAATTATGTATAGGACTGATATTTATTGGACGTAAAGTTATACGTGCTGTAGAAAATGTATTCATCATGTGTATCACGTGATAAAAACTCAGAAAATAAATAGATAAAAACATTGTAGATATTATTTTATACATCCTTTAAAATATTTTGGTGGTCTTTTGTCGTCACTCTAGTAGTTCGGTTTCCTTTCCATGAATTTCTTTTTCACGCAGTACAGTCCTGGGTTTGTTAATATATTTGGATATTTTTCACGAAAGATGTTTTGTGCTTATGTGCCCTCTACAGGGATGTAACTAATAAAGACAATGTTATTTCCCTTGTGACCGGAAACCTTATGAACACTCTTGTCTTTCGAGGGTTGGTCTGCTGAAATCATGTCAGTCCTAACAGAAGCATAAGCTCCCCGGTAAAGCAGTGCACTTGGGCCCCTACCTACCTACACAGTCACTTACAGGAATAAAAATGTAAATGATCAATACAATTAAACATATATTTTTATTATAATGGTGGAGTTTTCCAACGTTCTTCCCCTTGTCAGTGGTGCAGTACAGAGGGACTGACAAGGACAGCTGTCTAGTCGTTCGGATGGGATGAAAAACCCAGGTCCCGTGTATACATTGGCGGGCACGTAAAATATCCCTTGGCAGTTGGAATTCGATATAAGAGTAGGTCATAGGCGTATGTTTCATAGTATGACAATCTATGTTAAGAAAATGTTATATATGGACTTGTAATATATTTTAGGCAAAAACACAAAATAAGCTTCAAAAGAATAACAAACATAATATAAAGATACATAATATGATATAAATATTTGACAATGGCACCCTAGCTGTCTTCAACCTCATAGTAGGGGATATTCAGAAACAATACCAAACTGCGGAAATGCACTGCTGCTTTTATTAGAGGTAACCAGTGTATGTTAATAACAGGCCAATTGCCTACACATGAACATAAACAGTTCATATGGGCGGCTTATCTGACGGCCCATTTCACTCGCAAAGAGATACACCGTCAAAAGTGAAAATGGACGTTTTTGATTTTTGTCTTAATAATGAGTAATTGCTCCACCAATCCTCAGACATTCAGCAATTCGCAGTGGCATCGTCCAATCACGATTTGGGGCAATCTGATCCACTCCTCTTGCAGTGCCACGGCCAATTCTTGCTGTTTTGTCGGTTGACGTTGACGTCGACGAACACGTCTCCCGATCAAATTAAACGTAACACTCTAAAGCAAAGATACGCTTAACAGTAAATCTTATGCAAGAACCGATAGGAAAGCAAACATGGATAGATAAACCAGCACGCGGCAGTTTTCACCAAACCTTCCTTGAAGTGTCAAATTTGACAATGAATCCCTCCCTCCCACGTGTATGGCGCTATTGCGTGTCGCATGTGCAGTTCAGTGGTTCTGTTGGGGCGATAAGTTCTTCATCTGTGAACATACTCTCAAAGTATGTCAAGTGTCCATGACTGTTTATCATATCGCAACCTGCATAGGTAGTTGCATTTCAATATCCCCTACTTATTTTGAAGAATATATTTGAGACAGTAATATATTTTAGGCAAAAACAAAAAAACTTCAGATGTATAACAAACATAATATAAAGATACATTATATGATGTACATATTTGACAATGAAACCTATAGCTATCTTGAACCTCGTAGTTCTTGATTAATGTTTGCACGCCTGAGGGGCGTATATTTCGTTGCCTGGCAAGCTATGTTAAGAATATATATTTGAGTCTGTAATATATTTTCGGCAAAAACAAAAACAAAGCTTCAGACGAATAACAAACATAATAATAAGATACATAATACGATGTACATATTTGACAATGGCACCATAGCTATTGTCAACCTGATATTTCCTGATTAATGTTTGCGCGAACGAGGGGAATATGTTTTGTTGCCTGGCAACCTACGTTAAGAAAATGTAATATTTGAGACTGTAATATATTTTATATAAAACAGAAACCTATTTTAAGAAAATGTAATATTCGAGCCTGTAATATATTTTAGGTAAAAACAAAAAAATAAGCTTTCGACGAATAACAAACATAATAGCTAGATACATAATACAATGTACATATTTGACATTGGCACCTTAGCTATCTTCAGCCTCATAGTTCCTGGTTATCTCTTTCACTGACGCATTCTTTCCTGTTTTATGTTAAACCCCACTATCATCAGTTAACAATAAAATGCCACTTTATAACGGCTTTGAAGTAGCGTTTTACACGTACATTTACCCGCAGGATGACTCTTGGTTACAATCAAGCGCGATAAATAGCCAACGATACCTTCATCTTCAGCCTCTCTGGTTTCAACTATCCAAACCGTCTTATCGTTAGCCTGCTTAGAAGTGGCCCTTAACACGATAGAGACGAAAAATTCACAGAGCCGCAGGTCCTCTAATATGATATTTGGCAGACTTCGGGCTCAGAAAGCAACTTTCTTCTGTGTCCAATTATTGAGTGGTTTATCATGTGGGTGTATTGATGTTTAGTGAAGTGGATAGAAATGGTTGAGAATTTACAAAGAACCATAAGGCGACCTTGCTCTCAGCATGATACCGATTCCTGTATCACTCAAATAAAAGAGAAAGAGAGAGAGAGAGAAATTGGGTTTAACGTCCACTCGACACAGACTAGGTCATTTCGGGACAAACATATGGTTCAATTTTATTTCAATAATTCGCTTGCGCGTAGGGGTCTTTAGCCATGGGAGGAAACCGGAGGACGCGGAGAAAACCCACGAGGTGGAAACCCGAAAAAAAACCAAGCAAGGAGTGAAATCTAAAAAACAAGACCAAGCAAATGACTTACATGACCCGTCTTATCTAGAACATTATTAGTCAATTTCAACTTTTCAAAGGACACAGTCTGTTTCTGAAGTTGGTCACCAGTGAACGGAGAATCTGGGTGAAGGTGGAACCGTGCCGGAAGTGCTGGATCGGCCTTTCCGGCGACTAACCACGATGAACGATGATAGGCGTAGCGATATCTTTTGTTATCTATCGGAGAAAACCCACGAGGCTGGACAGGCAACCCTACTCCTTGTCACGTACAACCAGGGATTCGAAACCACGTCAGTTGACTCAATGACAGGCCTTATGATACAGCGCGCACGTCATGCTGACCATTCGGCGACCCACCCCCCCACTCAAATAAAATCGGTTTCACTTGGCAAACCTTGTTTTGTTTTATGACTAAGAGGGGTTGGATGGCCGAATGGTTATCATAACATTATAAGGTCTGTGATTGAGTCAACTGGCGTGGTTTCGGTTCCCCGGTTGTACGTAACAAGGAGTAGGGTCGCATGTCCAACCTCGTGGGTTTCTCTGGGTCCTCCGATTTCCTCCCACTGCTAAAGACCCCTACGCGCAAGCGAATTATGGAAATAAAATTGAACCATATGTTAGTCCCGAAATGACCTAGTTTGTGTTGAGTGGACGTTAAACCCTTTTTCGCTCGGTGCACTCCAAACCAGCTTGTATTATTAAGTATAGCCAGTGTTGCAGGACGAAGGATCTGGCAAGGGACAACGTATAGTCGTTAGGATGGTACAAAAAAACGAGGTCCCGTGCACACATTGGGGTACACGTTAAAGAATCCTTGGCAGTTCGATGTAAGAGTAGACTGCAGCGCCGTTGTCCGGGAAAACTTTCCCTTTTAGCACATTGTATGGCGTATGCCCATCTTCATTATCCCGGTCGGAGCAGAACAATATGAAGTTAAACCCCATTGCATTCCATTTAACACCTTAAGAGAAAATGGGTCCGGTTGGCGCTTAGTTAAATTATATTGGTCTCAAATGTTATATCAATTAATAATTAGACATTTATTGACATGACAAGCCCATAATCAACTCTCTAGACCATCAGATGGTCGCGATTTTTAATGGATTGAAAAGATCGCTATTCAATAATTTAATTTAAAATGCATAATCAAGATTTTGTTTATTATCATAACAATGGTAGCAATGAAAATGGAGACTACGCTATACTCTTATCAAAACTTCCAACATTTATACTTCGCTTAGAATAAAGTAATTTGACTAAAGTTTTTAATATATTCATTTTTCATCCTCTTATCTTTTTTTTTTTTTTTTTTTCTTAAACTTACATAATGCATCTTTAAATAAGCAATACATGGGTGAATGTTGGGAATAAATGTGTTCCGGGTGACGGGTCGAAGAGTTATTTTTAGCATAAAGGAAATAATCAAACCACATATTTGGGTTTACAAGATTTCTTTACCCGGTAAGGGAAGTAGCAGTTTCTTAATTTGATTGAAACAATATTTTATTTGGAGAACGATGTGAGTATATACAATACTGATATAATAGATTTGAAAACAAGCCGAAGCCTATATACATGCGTGTCCATGTAACTCATACATTTCAATACATTTAGTAACAGGGCTCACGTTGTCGGTCGCCAAAGTCGCAATTTGCAATAAAAATATGAAAGTGGCCACAAAAAATTGATTTTGGCGATAATTTTGGCGATAATGTTTCGGGGTACTGGCGATTCCTGTTTAAAACTGGCGGAAAATATTTTAAAATTCTCATCGTGTATATCCTAGATTGGCCATTACATCGAGTGTCAATCACAATCATGTCGTGACATACTATAAATTAATTGATTGGTTGATAATTAGTAATATGTACAAAGTTCAAAAGTATAGCTTTATATAGACAAATAAATAAATAAATTAGAGGGGAATCAAGCATATAGAAAAAAGCACATTAAAATTAAACAAGGAGATTGGCACTTCTAAAAATGTGTTCAATAAAATATTGGGGCGATCGCTTGTCTTGCTCAACATTGGGAATGCCCGCACCTCTCCAGACCGGGGGCCTGTTTCACGAAATCTTAACTAAAGATAAAATCCAAATTTTAGTAGCTACTTCAATATTGATTGGCTAAGCAATAAAATCTATCTAATATTAGCCAATCAAATTACTAAAATTTGGATTTTTATCTTAGTTAAAATTTCGTGAAACAGGCGCCTGGGCCCTGTTTCTCGAAATTT